AAAAGATGTATAAATAACACAGCTGTTGTTTTATATCAATACTATATATCCATGATTGAATTTTAAGTACTTAACTAATGTTAATTAATAAATACTATATTACATTTGCATTCTTTTTACATAAGAATTTAATTAAAAAATATAAATAAATTATCTTCAAAGTATTAATATTTAGAGATAAACTACGTATTTGTTGTTGTAATGAATAGATCATAAAAATTCAACATTTTAAAAAGTATTTAACATAAATAATTAAAAATTATACGTACAAAAAAATCGATAATAACTAACATTATTGAGTTTCTTAATTCCCTTAATTGATATTAAGCAATTTGTACAACTGACGTTTCTCAAATTTGTACAACTATGATGTATGAGAAATATGATTTTAAAAACTCTTTTATACTTGTGTATTATACTAAAATCTATGAAACAGTATATCTTGAAAAATGAAATGTAATTCTGGCATGTTTTATTAAAATTTATGTTTTCTGATTGATTACATTAACGTTGATAAAGAAATTGATATGCAATATCTTACTGAATTTAAATCACATCTGAACTGAATAATTCAATTTAAAATAAATACAGAAAATACATAGTCTAAAAAGTATTTTTAAGATATTCTATTAAATAATAAATTTCTGAGATTTTACTAAATAAATAATTTTACAAACAGTTAGAATATTGAATCAAAACAATTTCTATACCTTTGACTGCCATACTAAGTTGTAAGGATTACAATAATTCAATTCTTGCATTACTAAAGCAACAGTTGCTCCAATTTCAGATGGGTAAGAATCTCCTCTATTCACAGCCTAAACACAAAGATTCAGAAAGTTTCCTCTTTCAAAAATTATGATTTCATTGCTTACGCTTGATGCTAAGATTTAACAACCTTTAACGGAAGTGAATGTGCTGAAAATAGAATTATAACATCATGTCTTATTTCCATAGGAAATTGAACTAATTCTTCTTTAATCCTTTCAGCAATTGTCTTTATGAATAGTGGATGTGTTGCCCACCTATCTATTATGCTCCATTTCATGTTAAGAGGTAGTTGCCTGAAAATTTCAAACTTCTAAACATAAGGTAATTAATTTACTAGGAGCGCTATTTAATTACTAATAGAATTATATAATTTTTTTATATTTTTGAACAGACTATACTGCAAGATTTAAAACATGGAATTCAAAAATGCTATTGACAACTGGTTTTATGAATTAGCTATATTGTTATGAAAACAATTGTCTTTTGTTTCTTCTGAAAACTTGTAACAATTGAACATTCTAACAAGCATCGGTTATCTTACTCTGAAAAACTCTTTGTCTTTTTTTCCAGCCCCCTTTGGACTCCTCCCTTTCTCCTTGTATTGCTAACTGTTTGACCTTTTGAAATGAAACCAATTTACAATAGCGTCTTTAAATTATATTTTCCTAACTCTTATACTATTAATAAGTAAACACCAATAACTTAAACCATTACTGTGCCATTTTATTTAATTAATTAGAAAATTAAGTAATAACAACGGTAACTTTACATAGACTTCTAGTTCAGTAAGATGTTCAACAAATCTTAACTACAAATAATCAATAAATTATTCTGAACAGAAAATATCTCATCTTTTATAAGTCTATTTTATTAACCCCTTGCCGTACAATACCGAGCGTTGAAAATACTATGAGTTGCTCAGAAGCCAGAGCGGTTAAGTCCAGAAAACAAAAATTGAGATAATTAATGTTTTGGCTTCTGAAATTATTATACAATATATTCAAAAGCTATAAAAAGAAGGACTTTCTGACCTAGAAAAAATGAAGAAACAAGTAAATCCTTTAATAACTTAAAAGAATATTATCTATTCACTTAAAATTTACAAAAATTAGAAAATATCAAAAAATGGTTAACTGGATTGGTTTTTGAGCTACTCATATATTAAACATATGTATGTAATAAAGCATGTGAATTAATTTTCATGCACATGTTTTAATTTTATCATTAAAAACCCCTTATCTTAGCTCGTAGAGCCATGATAAATAAGACTGATTTTAATGATTAAGTAAAACAGATCTATAATATGTATGATACTTTTAATTCAGAATGACCTGCCGAATATATAGGTAAAATTTACTGAATATCTTGTATCTATGGAAAGTTATAGTTATACAACATTAAATAATAGCATTCTTGACACAGTTAATGGATGAAATTATAAATAGACTTACAGTTAATATATAATGAAAATTTTTAAGATAAACCTGCAAAATCGACTAAAACTTACATATAACTTGTAATCATTAATGTTATTTCAGTGTAATTTCTGTGCAATTATATAGACTTGTCGAATATTGTTTTTAAGAGTATTCATTTCTTGATCTAGATATCACAGACATTAGTACCCTCATAACAATTAACTCTCTGTTAATACACTGACAATACAAACATATAGCAAAATTACAGTATACATAAAATTGTAAAATTGAAGATTATAAACATCTAAGAAAGTTTACTGATTATTACATTGTGTTTTACAGCAAGAACAGCTACCTTTTCTTATAATATTTATATATTGCATTAAGGCTGGATCCAGTTGTAGCACAACTATATTGTGGATATTGAGAAAATATTATTGTATGTTCAAGGCCATCTCTGAAACGAAAGCATTCGCACAGTATGAAAATTAAAAGAAACAGTACATTATTTGCAATAAATCTGCAATGAAATTATTACTATTCAAAAATATGTAAATGTTCTTACTGTTCTAATTCTTGTAACGTGTTTTCAGTAATAGGGTCAGCATACCGAAAAGCAACATAATACTTATGAGGTGCAGTTTCTGGCGAAATATTATCCAATTGTTTACACATAAGTGAACCTTGAATGTTTGTCCATTTTAATATAGGAGACCCACCACCAATTTCTGCATATTTTTTTTGTACTTCCGGTGTACGACGTTTTGCTATCCAAGGACCCAGTTGACTGTAATATGCATTATAGTATAGAGATATATTTATAATGTTTCTTGTAATAATAAACAATATTGGTTTACGTAAATCAACCTTTGAACAGGTAGTTGAATCATATCACGATCAGTCATTATGCGTAACAAATAATCGTGCACTTGTTCAATAGTAGTGGGTCCACCCATGTTCAACATTAAAATACCAGTCTTTGGTTTAAACTTATTCATTTCCTTTGGATTTGTTGCTAGGGACATTGGACGCCAAGGTAAAACAAAACTTTTCCCATACTGTTTTCCTAAGAAAAAATTCATAAAAGAAATATCAAGTATATAAAATAAAATAACATATAAATAAAGAAATAAACCCTAATTAGCAATACCTTTATTATATAAACGTATATTAAACAATATAATAAGAAAGAATGTATTATTTCCAATTATATTATAAAAAAAATATTGTGTAACATAAATTTCAAATATTGCGCTATCATACACTTCAAGGATTCTGTAACTATTTTCACGAATTTTATAGTCCTAGAGTTGTTTACATATGTGTAAATAATATAATGGAGTAAATATAATTTTTACTTACCGAATTGCAGTAAAGTTGATAAATTATTTGTCATTTTTAACAGAAAAATCACTTCAAAGTAATCAAGGAAAGTATGATGAGACACCGAATATGTGATTACAAATGTAGAAAATTTGTAGTTTATGCACTATCACGATGGCGTCAAGCTGGCAGTACTACTGCTTACAGGTTAACTTCAAAAGTAAGGTTATGCTTGTTCCGTAAAATATGTTCCGCACAACGTGATTACGCGGCAAAAGATTGTTAACATCTTTAAAATATACCGTAAGTGTTATCAGTGTTTACTATATAGATATAACAGTAAGCGTGTTTTCATACTGTCTATAGATAAAACAACTATCAAACTACACCTTCAATAAACTTAAACTAAAATCATGACAGATCAAACTACTGAGGAATTAGATCCATCAGATTTAGGTACACTTGATTAGTAAGTATTACATACCGTATATATAAATATGGAACTCTCTATTAGCATTACTTTATGTCACAAATGTATTTTATCAACAGTTGGGAAAAATTTTACACGGAAGAACTCGATAACTTCAAAGACCACGGGGATGTCGGTGAAATATGGTTCGGCAGAAATAATTCACACAAAGTTATACGGTAAATTACTTAAATAATACACAGAGTATTTAGTATAAAACCCGTTGTCTACACAAAAAGTTAAGTTTGACATAAGCAATAAAACATTTTAATTCAAGACTGTGGCGCTATCTTTCGTAAGCCGCAAGTATTCAATTATCACACAAACTTACCTTTAAGTTTGTACTTATTATGAGCAGAAAGAATGAGTATAAATCATTATTATATCAATAACGTATCTCTTGTCGGTGATTATACGGTTAAGATTATATAATAATTATAAAAATTGTGTAAGTATAGTTATATAATAATAACTATAAAATTATTTAATTATTAACTTTATTTACAATATTTCAGGTGGATTACCACAAAATTGAAGCTTACTAAAGAGGATGATAAAATAATTGATATAGGATGTGGAAATGGAATGACCTTGGTAGAACTTGCAAATAAAGGTTTTACAAATTTATTTGGTATAGATTATTCACAAAAAGCAATTGATTTAGCCTCTGAAGTTTTAAAGGAAAATAATTTATCACATATTGATTTAAAAGTTTGTGATATATTAAATTTAGAAACACATAAGTTACCAACAGATTTTAAATTAGCACATGATAAAGGAACTTATGATGCAATCAGTTTACATCCACAAGATCCAGCATTGAAACGAAAGATGTACATAAATAATATATATGAAATTCTCTTGCCTGATGGTTATTTAATGTTAACATCTTGTAATTGGACAAAAGAGGAACTGGAAGCTCATTTTCAAGACAGTAAGTTATTTTATTTAATAACTTATTGATTAATAAGTTTTGATATATTATAATTCTTCGTATAAAAAATAGACTGAATTTGTCAATATGTTCAACATAAAGTGTTATTACTTTCTAACAAAACCTTTTTGATTTTTAAAAATTAATTTTATTTCGTAATATCATAAATTGTTTTTTGTTTAAAATAGATTCATAAGTATTTATTTTAATTGATTGGTTCTACATACTATTTAACACTATTTCTACATACTATTTAACACTTTAGCACAACTTATATTTTTTTATATAGAATTAAGATAATAGCCAATTTGACAGTATAAAAATATAGTTTCTTGTATTCAGAAGGTATATAATGTACATTTTATTCATTTTCACCACATTTTTTGCAAATAGGCTTCTCGATTGTACATTTCCCACACACGTACTTTTTACATTTTAGACAGATTTTGTTAGTCTTATTGTTTGTGCAATATCTTATCTAGCATGTTTTTCGTTCGCGCGAACCTGTACTTGTATTTGTGATGGGTGTTGGTTGATCTTCTTTGCCTAGCTGTAGCACTTTTTGATATTCGATGACAAGTTCTTCTGCCAATTGAAATAAAAATTCTTGTCCCGAAATTTCTTCTCCCGTGGTTTCCCTATTTAAAACCCATGCATTTATCCCGGCTAAGTCTAGGATATTGAAAAATACCTATAAAGGCCATCTCCGACATTTAGATTTTACTGATTTTACCGAGGCCGATAGGCGAGCGAGAACTGTAAACACTTGGAAGTGCCGTACAGCACTCCCTGGAAGACACTTTTTGGCTAAAATCATAATCAAAATAAAATTATAGTTTCGGAATTGAGTCTTCGAGAGAATACCATTACAAAAAGATATAAATCGTTGTACCGGTCAAATGACCGATCGTGGTAGGCAAGACAGACTACAAATTTTTCTTAGAAAATAAACAATAAAAAAAAAAGTGAATATTAAAAAATGTATTTTACGTATATTTAAGGAAAAGTCGTGAAGTTTAAAGGCGATTCAATTACGTTGTACATAGGAAATTCTGATCGAAATTTTAGAAACGGTCATTTGACCGGTCGTGGTAGGAATAGTATTAATAAATATGAATTATTAAACGTATTATAATTAAATATAATATTTAATTTTTCTGTATTTTATTTTAAATTATATTATTTAATAATTGTTTTGACTTACTGAATTATTTATGATAGATTTATATTTTTTATTTTGGAACTATTTATTATATTAAATGAAGTTGTAAACATGTATTTTTGAGATTCAATACTCTTTTAATAAGAAAGTTTAATGAATTTTGTAATATATCTTATTTATGTTATTATGAGAAGATGTCAGAGGTATGAACTTAATTCATTGTACAGAAACTGACACTTAGATAATAAGATTCTATTCCAGCAAAAGGTAATTAATAAAGTATTTTTATTGTTAACAGTCACAGAATAAAATTCATGAAAATGTATTTATTTGAATATCTGTCTTGTAACATCTATTTAAAAGTGTTGCAGATTATTCTATTCAAGGCATACAGATTGTTAATTTATACAAATATCTTAACTTGATTAATTTATTTTATATTGCTAATGTATTCTTATGTATCATTATAATATATTTCTATGCTTATCATAAGATATATATGTTACGGGCAATATGATAAAGCGGTAGTTACATATAATCCCACGGTGATTATGTAGAATTATTCTCCAATGTTATTTGCGATTACGCGTAATCGCCGGGCGGTTATGTATAATTTCCGGATTAATCGAATTTACCGTAACATATATATGTTAATGTAACTTTAATCTGTAATCTTAATCTGTCCAAAAGCAAAATCATTTTCACGCTTTCTGCGGAGGGTTTCCTCTTCAGTAAAAATCTCTTCCTGTAATTATTTGTTGCTTTTGTAACCAATTATGTATTTTATGTTTTATGTCTTATGTAGTTACTCGAAGTGTATTGTAAAAAGTGTATCTAAAAGGGTTTAATTTAATTGTCTGTTTTTCCTCAAATTTTTTGTGTACAAATTGCTACTTATAAATTATCAATAAATTAAATATCTTTTCTTTTCCAAAGTAACTATTTAGAAATGATTTCTAAAAATTGTTATTTTAATAACTTTAAGTTATTATTACTTTATGATTATAATTCAGCATTTGTATTTATCTTTCTCTTATGCTTTTAATTACATATGTATTATTGTTTGTAACATGTATCATTTTGAAACTTAATTAAAGTGACATGTATACTAGCAATATGTTTGTAAAGCACTAACAGTTATGTCAACTAATGTAATAAGAAATGTAAGTCCTGCAACTAGAAATACTCAGAACTACTTCATCTAATTACAATAGGCAGTATGTATAAATATAAAAATATTTTCACATGTTTAATTAAAGTTTCGTTTAACAATTGCTAATTACATAATTAATATGACAACAGTAACTATTTTATATTACATGGCACTAAATATCTTTATCTTGTATAATATTGATAGTAATAATAATAATGATAATGGTGAAGATAATGATAAATATAATGAATAAATTATATGTTTCAGATTTTAATGTTCTGGATGTACTTCCATCCGATTCATTCTCCTTCGGAGGACACGCAGGAAACACTGTTACACAGTTAGTTCTACAAAAGAAATGATGAATAAGAAAACTAATAAATTACTTACATCAAATTTCTTGCATATATCTATACTTACTATCCTGAAATTGACAAGGACTAAACAGCAAATCCTGTAATATTTACTTAGATTTAAAGTACAACAATGAAGCACACAAAAGTTAGTTAGTTATGCCAAAAATATATTTTTATAGTAAAAGTAAGTGATTCACTTTACTATCATTCATGTTAAAATGTTGTACATGTAATACTTTATGTTATAAATTCCTTTTATTTAATTATTATATATATTGTATACAGTTATGTCGATAAGTAGTGTGTCATTGGCATACAAAATTGTTGCACATGCTTTACTGCTCGAAAACATTAAATTACTCCATTCTAACAATTAAAGAAAGAGATTTTCTGATTATATAAATAAATTCAAGTAGTTATAAATATGTAATTGAATATAATCGTTTATAGAAATAGAAGTGACTGCAAATTTTGTTTGCTATGTTATCTTTGAAACCGAAGAAGATTTGTTATACAGTATACATCACACGAAAATTAAACAAGTGATTTCAAAGCTTTCATCATATGTATATATACAACAAGATTTGTATTATTGCACTTCTTACTTACATTGTGCAATATACATCAAATCAATAAATACCAAATATATACAAAATAGAAAGTAGAGAAATCATTGAAGGAAGTCATATGTCTTTGTTAGGGCCTATTGAACTTGAATCATTGGATAAATTATAGTATAATAATGAACAATAATAAATCATAATAGATAAAAACGAAAAAGTCCGGTTTGCTTCAACTCGGCTGTGCTCATCGTGTTACGTTATGGACTTAATCACTTTATATAGTTCTTGAAATAAACATATCATTTCATGGTAAAAAAAGTTCCTTTCATTTTGTGATGCTAAAACAATTATCAAGAAAATTTATTTTGGACACAAAAAGGTAAGCATCAATCAAGTGCTTTGGCATTATAATCTCGAAAAATTAAGAAAATTGAACTTTATCAACTTGGCCTGAGTGTGGCTCATACATATAGGTATTACAGTCAACTTTCAATTATATGGTTTCTTTAAGATCTACTTTTTAGCGATTCTTTACACCAGTATTTTACGCCGTTTATTAAAATCTTATACAATTAAGAAAATACTGAAGTTGTACTGTAGTTTGTACTGTAATTATATTTAATATAAATTCAATTTTTGTCATTAACCCTCGAACCACGGCTAACGTGGAATTCTAGATATTTTGTAAAATATTCCCGCTTAATTGAGCTTTAACCACTTTTAAGTGTTTTATCAGGCTATTGTTAGTTATCATCTGTCCCGTTATTTATCAGTTCCGTTAGTTTGTTAGTTTTATCTATATAATTGTTAAGATGCATCTGCATAACAAACAAAACTAACCCGCGATTTTATATCGAAAGATCAAAAACTAGCTCGCGGTTAAAGGGTTAAAATACATAATACTAAAAGATATACAGGGTGAGGTACAGTTTATGAAAACGTTGAGACATGGGATTTAAATGGCATCAGAGAGCACATCGTATAAGATGCGTGCTTTTCTTGTAACTGAAGACGTTTGAGAAATTTCAAGATCACCTTAATTTTTTTAAATGGAATGACCTACTTTTTGTACCATAGGTCGATAGAATATCAAATTCTGAGGATAAAAGTGTTGACCATACGTCTTAAACCTAATAGTGAGCGAGATATTAGCAATAGTTTGATTCACGTAAAGTCGCGTTGAATGTACATATAATACAATGTCTCCGGGTGATTCGCGAAGATGGCAGTGTTTGTCTGACAATGTTTATCAACATATTACATATTCTTACTTTGCGCTGTAATCTACGATTTCCACAGTTTAGTATCGTTTCATTACTGAAGGCAACGTACTGTCGAAGAAAAACGGGTCAAAATAAAATTTAGTAATAGCAAAAAGTTAAGTATGGTTTTAGTTTTCAGTTTGTACGGTGAAAATGCAACAAGAGCCAAAATTGTTTACGCTGAGAAATATCCTGATTAAAATCAACCATTAGTTTCGTTGAAATAAGTGATAAAATTATGGTAGATGATACATATTTGTTTTTGATTCACTTCAGTAATTATATTTATTTTCATTCGCACGTTATCGCTCTTGTTTTAAATAACTGTATATTGCAATTTATAATTGCACGTTATACATCATGTAAAAGCAAATTAATGAGTAAGTATTTCGCAGTATGTATTTTAAATTTAGTTTATTAGATAAAAATAAGGACTACACACACATATGTATCTCTATCAGCAGATTTACAAAATGTTATCAGAAAAACAAAAGCTATTATTAAAAAAAAATTTTATTACACTTGAAGAGAAAATTAAGATTTTGAAGGAATTCAGTGATGAAGTAAAAATATTAAGTGTAGCAAAATCAGTCAACTTAAATGAGATAACTCTTCAGACAATTAAGAAAACGAGGGAACGTAGCTGCACCGGAGGCGACGAACTCGGGAAAGGCCATTTCCTTACAGAGCCATTGCCTCCAAAAACGTAATACCTGACCGCGCTAAAACTTATGTGACAGTTCCGAGCGAACAGACTCGAGAGCCCGCTGCCGAACAACAATACTAGACGTCGCATACGCAGACGGCAGGCGTGCACGATACGTAAACAGCTGAGGTACGGCCAATGAACTCGCAAGGCCGTGAACTAGCATGTATAGTACCGTGATTGCCCGTGTGAGAATGTTTAAAATTGCTTTTTTGGCAAAACGTACATACGATAATGATTACTACACACACGATTGTGACTAACGGTACACAACTTCACGGATAACGATTTCGGATAATGATTTGATAACAATTACGAATTACGAAACGGTTACGACTACGGCATACGCATTACGGAACACGGTTACGGAACACAATCTTATCCATTGTACCGGTTTTCTTCTATTCGTTTTACGTAGTTATATTTCCTGTCGCGGATTCTGTAATAAAAGGCAGATTTGCAATCCACCAAAAATATCTGTTCCTACAAAAACGAGGAAAAAATAAGGAATAATGTTTGTGCAATTTTAAAAGTAACAGGTTGTGCACGAGACTTAAGTATTGTCAAAATGGAAGATGCTCTGTGCATTTGGATAGAAGATTGCATTAATAAAGGCATTCCTTTGGATGAAAATATTATTAAGAAAAGACATTGAAAACCTACAATTGTTTGAAAAATAATGGACATTCTTTTATACAACACTAAAAAAATTCATTTTCTGCTAGCCTGAATGGAAGAATTTAAAAAAAGATATTTTCGTCATAATTGCAAACTGCACGGGGAAAGTGCTTTTGCGCATGATCTAATGGAAATAATCAATTCTGGCATAATAAACGATGACACATGATTCCTCTGAAGAATTATTCTCTAATTTTCCCGTAAACGACATTAAAAAGGGTTTAAATTTGGCAAAGAAGTTGGAGTTTGATCTTCAGCAATACGATCCTTCATTATCTTAGAAAATGAAAAGGCATCACGTTGTAACTTCAATGATCTTAACAGTCCGTGTTTCCAGCGATAAAGATTGAAGAAGCATAATTTCCAGCGATAAAGAATAATTTAAAAAAACTTGTGTAAATACAATTAAAAGTATGTTTGTTTTAAAAACCGCATTTTCTTTTAATAAAAATTTACTGAATAACATGGAACCAATTAATCGTGTTACACACACATTTTCTAGTAAAAATTGCAAAATTTAATTTCATTGAATATACTTATTACTCGTATTTATGCATATTTACAAAGAATTCGCAATGAGAAAGTTTCTTATATTTTGTTGTGAAAATTTATTTATGCAAATAAAAAAAAAAGTATAGTGTACTTCCTTTGTTTAATTATTTTGTTTCTCAACTTTTATTGATGAATATATAGTTAAGAATAAAGATTTTTCTTTAATTCATGGTTTAACAGATATTTCTTCAGTTAGAGTTTAAAAATACAATTATGTATGCATATTTAATATATTAATAATGTTGAATTTATTGTAAACTAACTTTGTACAATATTTTTCTTATACATATTATTACAGAATAAAATCTCTTATTCTCTTTTTTCACTAAATGAAATTTGTTTGATCTAGTATATGTTAAATTTTATTATATTTATTCTATTCTAAAAATATCTTATAACTTTTGTGGAAAGAGAAAGTCAATAGTAAAAGGGATACTTTTGTTTCAACCAATTTAATATGTTCCGTCCCAAGACTGACGGAAATTTGAAGGCCTTCGACGATCATCGCCATCGCGGTTTATGGCACGGACGTGCGCAAATGGTAATTTTTGAGATTAAGGACTTTAGCTTACAATTAGCATGTTTTTAGTGTTAAAATATGTCCTGGCGAGAGAAAGCGAATTATTATTCAGGGTCGATGAGGATTCGAGGTTCGCTTCTTTCGCCTCTCATTAACCGTGGCCGTATCGTAAATCGGGAAGTTCTGAAGGGTAGTTCGACATGTGTTTGTAACGGTAAAGATACCAAACAGTCAACCACCTGGAGGAATTTGCGCAGCGTTGCCAAGGTTGGCATCCCCATAATCTCCGCAACACCCCTCCCCGAGGGAGCGCGCTGAGGGCGCAAGGAGGTGTGTCGGAACTCTTAGGCATGCTCACTGATTGGTAATGTTAGAAATTAGACAAACCCAATCAGCGATCAACAACAAAAACCGAGACTTCGTGATCGACACAGCCGGTCGCGACAATCAGTTGCAAAACACACTTCAACCAGTTCTCAAACACACTACAAGCACCAGCTCCGATATCATTTGAAATACATAATTTTTCATCCGAACAACTGTGAGTGCCAGTTCATTTACCCAACCGATCCCGACTGGAATCAGTTAAGTTCGTTCCAGCCAGCGTCTGATTTACCGTCGCGATCCGCGTAAACGGGATCTAGAACCCCGCGAAATTGTACAAACAATTGCGGTGCTAGGACGCTACATAATATGAAGGGTAAAAAACAATATAAATTGTGAATGAATTGTTATGACATTTAAGTTAACTAATTATTTAATACAAGAATTTGTAGATCTAAAAAAAATATTCAAAAGTGTCTCGCTTACACAAAAAATAGTATGTAACTTGTGTCTTTTAAATGACACTTTAAGTTTTCCTTTCCATATCCTTTAATTGTATAAAAAAGAATTTGGTAACGCAATATAACGTATAATTTTAATTATTGTTAGAGGTAATGGATTAAAGAACATTTATTCAATAAAACATTTACAGGAAGACGGTTGTTTCTAAGTAAATAGTAACATCAACTGTTTAGTGTAGATCGGTAACGACTCACTCCATTTCTCGCATAAAAATATAACTTTTAATCTCTTTCACACCACGCCACAAAATAAGATTTTTTTTGTAATCTTGACATCTTCAATCTTAAAACCTCCATGAGAATATCAGCTGGCGTCTCCGTTATTGGAATATATTCAATCTTGATTTCTTCTCTATGAATCGAATCACGGATGGAATGTTACCTTATGTCAATGTGTTTTGTGCTCTCATAGTGAACTATATCTTTTGACATTTTAATTGGCTTTGATTAATTATCGCTGTACATAGCGATAGTGTCCATTTTTCCCTTAATTTTAGTAAGACAATTTTTTAAATAAGGTCTAATTTTTTATACCATTGACGACCCGATTGTTTCAATCCATATAACGCTTTTTTCAGCAAACAAACCTTATTCTTGAATATATTCCGCAATTCTTTTTCATCCAAAAAAGATAGT